CACGTATCCTCTTAAATGGTGGAAAATTATGTTCTTTATGATAATACGTATGAGTAAGTGTGGGCACTGCATTTGAGTCTGCCCTCCTTTTTTGTTGGCCAGCAAAACTCGATGCCTGTTTGAGTTTCCATTTGAAATCTGACTGCTGTCGGTCCAACTCCGATTTGTTGATTGACCAGGGACCGCAAATTGTGCGGTCTGCAAAATGAATATTTAGCCTGTTTACCTAAGCGGAAAATGCTGGAAAACACGGCGAAATTCCTAACGGCAAATGCATTTTGACTATTGGAGTCCAATATTGAACAGACGCGGTGGTAAATATTGTGATAGACACTTTTTGAAATTGTTGGATATTTATATAAAGGTAGTTATAAGAATCTTGAGAATTTATTTTCAATATTTGTGTAAATGTTTTCCCCAAATTAAACTACAAAATTAACTTAGTCATAAATAGCTCCAGGGTCTAGGTCAAAATAACAAAGGAAGTGAATTTCCGCCTAAAAATAAAAGTGCCCATTAAACGCATTCTGCATGTAACTGATAAAGGTTCGTTATATCGGAGAAAAAACTGGCGTACAATTTTTTCATTGTATTTATTACATTTATTTTGTATCTCTTAAATGATGCAAATGAATCCAGCTTTTTTGCTCCTTCGAATGGCAACCAATATTCCCCTAAAAAAAAGGACAGCATATATCAGCTCAGAAATTGCCAACGCCTGGGGTCCTGGCACTCGTGTCTGCAGTTGTGCGTATTTGTTTTTAATTAAAATAAATATTACCATAACCTATAAAATAATTGAAAAACAATTTAGCATTATTGCGTGCAGGTTGCCCACATTCGACGCTTTTTCCCAGGAGTTGCACATGATTCCTCGGCGTGTCTGCTGGTGTTTTCCGATTTCTGTTTACTGTTTGTCAGTCGTTGAGGTTACAACTTGCTGTAAGCCACCGTCCCTTGAAATTGTGGGAGGTGCCGGTGGACTCGCAGCAGATTTACACGCCTTTATTTACCCACTCCGACCAAGAAGAAGGGTATGCGGACTATCCGTAATTTTAGCACTTGGTCAATACTCTGATTTCCTTATTTTATATAAATGATGCAGAAATCACAGATGCTTTAAAATCACTCATTCAAATAAGGTTAATCATAAAGACCGATCCCGATTAATTAAATTTAAGTTGGAATTAATGTACAAACTTGTTTAAATTTATCAAAATATTCCGAAATTCTATATAATTTAAACATTTACTTTAATTTTAATTTAAACTATGATTAACGGATGCTCGAAGTTATTAATATTTTAAAGGGTACTCATGCCATCGACTTTCTCATTGACCAAATTCTTTTTCTTTCCATTTTAATTTTAATTTAAAATATTTTTGCAAAAGTTTCGAACGCACTTGCCCACCCACTCGCACTCCAATCGCACACCCAAAACCATTCGCTGTTGGGAAATTTCGTTTACTTTGTGGGTCTTATATTTTGACATCATTATACACACACACCCGAGCATTTATATATGTTTTTTAATTTTTATGCGTCGTTCTCACATTGGCAATGTGCGAAAAAAATAAAAATAAAAAGCTGAAAATGAAAATCTTCTTAAGCTACAACAACAATTATAATAATTATTTAATTAAAAATGCTGTCGCTTGAGTTGGTGCTGCAGTGGAAGCTTGCCGCTTGATTTTTCCCTTTTCAGCGATTTTTGTTTAACAGGAATTGCATTTACGAGTGCTCTGGCACTTGAGAGAAAATTAATCTATTTTAAGTGTATGTTGCGCACATCAGAGGCTGTGAAGAAGGAATGGTCAATGAAAGTAGTGTGGGTTAATGAGTTTTGGACTTTCAGCGCTGAAAAACATATTATAAAATATCTTAATATTTCAACCAATAAATTACAATAAAAAGACAGAATAAAATAATGATATCTTGAGTCATTTATCTTTGCAATCCGATATAGTTATCCGATCTCCTTGTTGTACAGTTTCTTATCCCAACAAACATTATTGCAACCCTAGACCGCTTGCTCCTTTGTTAGGCATCTCCCTGGCCAAGATTTCCCAATATGACCTCATTTTCTGCCCCATATAGGGAAACAATCGGAGAAAACAATTGACCGAAACGCGGTAGCTTGTCAGATTGATTACCACTCGATTGTTGGGAAAGTCTTGCACAATCTCCGAGGGGGAACCGAAAATCTACATCGACGGCAATGATTGACCATAATGAGTTGGGTTTTTAGGTAGATCACGCCCCGAGTTACACTGTCAGTCGCCGCTTTCTGCAAATGGTATTCGTATGGGACGAAGCATACAGATTCGCATTAAGCGTACACAAACAGTTGCAATTGTATCCAGTGTTCTTGGGCACCTTTGTATCTCTCGGTGCGGATGCCTGCTAATCTCTTATAACATTTCCATTAATACGCAGTTGGTAGTCTTGTCCCTTGCTTTAGACCCTTCCCTACTTGGCCTGCCAATGCCAAATGATGAGAAATTAATGTGAGTCGAGCAGGAGAACCAAGCCCTGAGCTCACAGCATGGGACTAGCGTCACGGTATTCTCCTCAGCGGAGAATACCTCTCCTCGCAGCGGGACAATTGGGCCCGGGTTATTGTTGGGAAATTTCACAGCACTCGGCATGGGTCCGTCGAAGACCCAAGGCCCAGCTCTTTGGCTCGGTTATGGCCATTGTAAGGTGTAACAAAAAACCCAAAAGATGCACACAAATTTTTGTCAAATGAAAACTGTCTTTGGGCACTTTATGAGTTTTCGAGCGGGGGGAAAGGGAATAGCCGATCTGCGGCTGGGTGTCTTCACGCCCCGGGCTTAAGTTTCACGTGTTACCTGCCTTGGGTTTTATAGTCGACCATGACTAAATGGGGTGATAAGTGAATCTGGAACTGACTAAATTTTCGGTAAAGCTAAAGCATTAATCCGAATTTATCCCTTAAGAGGATGTTTTCCTGTGTAATGAATGATTTTTGTATGAATATAATAGTTAAATCTTAATATATTAACTAATTATGAAAATCAAAGGAGCCATAATGGAATAAGAAAATATTTTTGTATTTATATAATATTACCTAATCATACAAATCCAAGTAGTTTTAATTTAAATTATTTTCTAATTACTTAAAAAGAAAAACGACAAAGAAAGGAATGGACTTTGCTTTCATATAATATTAACAAAACATAAAAATCAAAGGAGATTTAATAGAATTTATTTTTGTAACGCTTAAAAAAAGAACCGGCATTTATAATACTGTAGTATATTAATAGACATACACTGCATAGATAATTTTCCTCATACTTTAAAGAAACCTACCGCCAAAGTTAACACTATGTAATTGTAGCAGTTTCTGTTTAAAGCGGAAAAATGAAATTACCAACTTCTATCAAAAGGCAGCCAAAAGAATGAATTTAAGTGTTAAATCCAGCCTTTCTTTTCTTTCTTTCTAACCTCCCTGCCCCACCAATCCAACCGAAACTCATCGGTTTCGCCCCCAAGTTTGACCCCAGAAAGACATTCAAGACCACGTTAATTGAGCTTCGAGTGAAGATAGATAACAACATCTGATAAATAGCGGGCCGAATCCAAATCGAAAACGAAATCTCAATCTCTCTGAACTCTAAACTGTAAACCGTAAGCCTGGTCGGACTCTCGCTTTGGAACAATTGTGAAATGCTTTAATTTCTGAAGTACCTTTAATGAGCATTTTCAACATGGTCATCATACAATCAGCCAGCCAGCCAGCCAGATGGGCCACAATGGTCTTCAATATTTGGACCAGTCGACGGCTTTCGGTTCGATAATTATTGCCTTCGGGTTTAATGCTGATGCCGGGGCTTCAGGTTTCAGGTTGCGAGTCTTCAGAGCCAGAATAAAGTTGGGGCTCGCAATCTGTAAATGTATCTCGTTGCCGGAATCTGTATCTCGGCGTATCTGTATCTGTGTATCTGCAGCTGAGTGTGTTGAGGCGAATTAATGATTACATTCGCTTTTGCTTCGTGGCTTGATGCTTGATCCACTAACCCTTGCCAGCGGCCCCTTCGGTAGCTCTTTCACTCGACTGGGGGCCATGAAAGGAAATTGTAATGATCGAAATCAAAATGTTTTCGTTACTTTGCCTCCTAATGAAGCTTTGAATAGTGCGAATGACTCTCAACTCTCTTTCTCTCTTGCTGTTCAGCTGAATCGTTCTCGAATATGAAATCTCGAGACTCGAGTACACGCGCCTTTTAATCGAAATTTGATGATGGATTCCGAAGTCCGTTGGGGAAATCAGTCAGAGGTTGAGTATCTTTTATTGTTGGCCATTGGGGGCTTGGTTCTGGCCGCTATTTGCCTTTGTTATTTATTTATTGTTATTACCGTGCATTGCTCGCTGGAAGTTCTGGAATGATTTCTATTTTGGTAATTGTCTAAATGGGTTTCGATTTGGCTTGAAATTGAGCAGGGAAAAATAACGAAAAGTAGGGTTCTTCAGGGTTCCCAGGGGCAAACTTCGACGGTCGGTGAGTTGGCAACTTTCTGTTCCGCCAGGCGACAGCTGCATTGCAGGTGACAATGAAGGGGTAGTACAAATGGTAGTTGCACATGTGTTTTCCCTGCACATTCAATTGAAAATTATGTATACTCCCACCCCTTTTCACTTTTTTCCACGCTCTGCTTGAGCCGGGGTCTGCAAAAGTTTCCAAGCTTGTTACTATTGAATAATAGTATATTAATTTTGCTGCCTTTTTTATACCCCGTCCTCTCGGCATGCAAGCCCTCAACTTACTTTTAATTGAATTGAAAGTCAAAAGTTTTGAGCCCGTGGAAAACCGGCAAAAAAAAAAGTGAAAATGTCGAGACAAATTGACACAGAGGAAAAGTTGCCGCTGCAAACGGAAAATGTTTAATTAAAGGCAAATTTCCACGGCATGTGAAGAACTGCGGGCTGAAAAGGAAAGCTGCTGAATTAAGTACACAGTGTAGGTTTTTGTTTTTGAAATGAGTTTCTGTTTTCATTGCGTATATTTTTGTTTTCTCTTCATATTTCTGGTTTTCGCTTAAATTTGCATAAATTTCTTGTCTAACTAATACATAAATAGTGGTTTGCATTTGATTCGATTTTGCATTTAACAATAAATTAAATAAGTTAAAATTAAGCTTACAATGACTCTCAGTGCTTTGTTGTCTTTAGTTTATCTAAACTCGTATATCATTTACAATTCATGGGGGTCTTAGGGCTACGATTAACTTATGCTCGGAGGGGTTAGGAAAACAGTAGTGTTGGCAAAGTGCTGATAGAATGGGAGATCCTTCAGTGTTCTATAGGTTCGAAAAGAGTGCGTTTCTAGAGTTATATATACAAGGCAAGATTTTTCGTCTGACTTAATGCCTAGGTTGTATTCCGATTACAGCTACTACAATGTTTTCCTTATTTCCTAACTAAACTCTAATTGTGTGTGGGTAGGGAGGAGGGAGTGGGTTCTTTAGGGTTTTGGCATCACAGTGTTGGGCAGCGGACTACTAAGCATAGATGCTCAGCTGCCTGCGTCGATAGGTCGAGGATCAGTGCGTGAACTGACGCAGGGTGTTGTTGTTCTGCTGCTGCTGCTGCTGTTGCTTCTGGGCGGCGGTCTTTTGCTGGAAGGACCTCCTTCCCGTGGTGGCACACAGACCATTCCTCAGCGGCAAGGCCGGCGGCATCGGTGGCGGCGTGGGCGTCTTGCTGCGACCCAGCTGCTCTAGCGGCATCGAGTAGTGGGTATTGCTGTAGATGTAGTTGTGGTCGAGGATCTCACCACCCATCATTTCCTGATCGTACAGTTCGCGTTGCTTGAAGTGCTCCTGAGTCAAACGCAACTGCGGCTGATTCAAGGGGGCACCGTGCACCATGGGCACATCTGCGTACGAGTAGCACGAGTCGCCCACTGTGGCGGTGGCGGCCAGGAACTGCGGCTTGGTGTAGTGATTCAGCTGGGGATTCGCCTGATGGCCGACATCCCTTCCCATAGTGGCCGACTTCATGTGCAGCACAAACGAGGCGCTGTCATCGACGGCTCCTTGGGATACCAAACCCTTATTATTGTTCAGTTTCTTCTCGCTGACCATCGTGGACACCGCCAGCTGCTGAAACTTTTGCTGCGGATCGACGGCACCCAGATCATTGACCGCCGGCATGGGGCACATTCCGTAATGGTGGGTAACTCCCGGATGATGGGGCGCCGTGTAGGTGTTCGGGAAGGTGGAGTGAATGCCCAGGGAGCAGGGATGATGCTGGTGACGCGACATGTAGTCCTCGTCGCAGAAGGTCTTCTGATACTCGCGCTCCTTGCGTCCCAGCGCCGAGTTGCCCCACAGACCGCCGCCGCCCTTGATGGTCTCGCGGATCTTGTGGCGGCAGCGGTAGATGACCAGAGCCAAGGCGGTAATGGTGGCAGCGGAACCCACTAGGAGAGCTCCAATCAGAGCCTGCTTGCGAGGATCGGCATGGGTGCAGCCCATGAGGGCGGGGTTCAAGTGACGCAGGGATTCGCCACGCAGACGCTCGGGGAACTCGCAAATCAGCTCGGAAACCTCCTCCTGACTGGCATTCTTGGCCACCAGCAGGTTGTGCAGCCACATGACGCGGCAATCGCAGGACAGGGGATTCTCCGAGAGATCCAGGGTGAGCAGATCCTTCCAGGGGAACAGGCCCTCGGCCAAAGAGGTCAAAGCATTGGCCTTCAGCATCACATGGCGCAAATGGGGCAGTCCACTGAGAGCACCTTCCTGAACCTCAACGAGCATTTTGTTGGACGAGAGATTCAGATACTCCAGGTTAGCATTATCGCTGAAAGCTCCAGTCATCACGCGCTTCAGCTTGAGGGCTCCATTGACCTCCAGACGCTTCAGCTGCTTCAGGCCCAGAAAGGCGCCCTCGCTGATCACCTCAAAGTCATTCTGACCCAGGGAAAGCTGCTCCAGACGCACCAGCTTGCTGAGACCCACGGAGGGAATGCGATCCAGGCGATTGTCGGAGAGATCCAGGATGCGCAGCTCCTCGAGGCCCAAAAAGCTGTCGTGCGAAATGTTGCGCAGACTGGCGCCCTTCAGCTCCAGACGCGTCAGACCCTTGAGATCCTGGAAGGCCCCAGCCTGGATGCTCTGCAGCGTGTTCATGCCCAGGAAGAGCTCGGCCAGGCTGGGCATGGCCTGGAAGATGACGGGATCGGGAACGGAGGTCAGGGCATTGTCATCCAGATACAAGATGCGCAGCTGGCTGAGACCATCGAAGGCCTTGGGATCGAGATAGCCAATGCGATTCTCGCCCAGATTCAGCTCCTCCACCTTCAGCAGCGGCGTGAAAGTGCCCTGGTGGAGCTCCGAGATTTGGTTGCCACGCAAATTGAGAACAGTCACGGCCGACAAACCGATAAAGGTCTTATTGCTGATCTGGCCAATCTTGTTGTGATTCAGATGCACCTCCTGTAGCTTCTTCTGGTAGGCGAAGGTGCGCTGGGGTATGGTCATCAGGTGATTCGAGGACAAATCGAGGAAGGTCAGCTCCGCGTAGAACTGAATGGACGAGTCGATGGTCTTGATCTTGTTGCTCTTGATCACCAGTCGCTGGATGGAGGGATTCAAAGCGATGGGCAGCACGTCCAGCTGGCCCTCGCCGCACTGAACCACCAGGGTATTATCGTCGCACTGACAGCCGGGCGGGCAATTGGCCAAACCAGCCGCGGGCTCCACTGCCATGCTGGCCAAAATGCACCAGATGCCCACGAACGCGATCATCATGTTGCGCTGCATCTTGGTCTCTGATTTTTCTGTCTCTCTTTTCGGTCGCTCAGTTTACACTCGCTGTGTTTCGATTCTTTCGCAGTTTTCCTTGGGACTTTTTCAGTTTTCCATAGTGCTGCGGGTAGACAAACGAGGGAGAGATTTTCGAAATTAGTTTCTGTTGAGTTCGGTTAATTAGCCTATTTTCGTGGAACTATTTCTATTGATTGAAATTTAGTGAGTTCGTCAAGCAAACATTTTAAATTTATGTTAAAAATATTTTTAGATTTTATCTTTATAGCTTGTTGGGAAAAATTATTTAAAATTCTAAACTATTCACATTTTTAGATTTTTCTTCCTGAATATCAATTTTGAAATGAAGTTATAATTAATTTCTGGTAGAAGATTTTTTGAAACTATTTTTATAAACATTTTTTTTATACATTCTCTATTTTTATTAAATTCTGAACGGGTAATTTAATTTGTTTCAAACTTTTTCCAACACAGTTTTCTATTTTCCTAACTTCCACAATATTCCACTTTAAACTTTTCACAATTTTTGCCACCAGTGAAACTTACCTATTGTTTGTCTTTGAAGATTGTTTGGCAACAATTTCTGGTTTTCAGCCGATCAAATCGTTGATGAACAGAACTTAAAATGCAGAATTCAGTGTTTCGTTTTGTTTTGCTTGTGTGATGTGTTTGAGTTTTCACTGTTATTCACTTTTTCAAATTTTCTTGTTTTCGCCAATATTATGTTTTGTCACATTTGCTTAACTAAAACATGCGTGTTTTTGTCAAAATAAAATTTGTTTGCTTGTGTTTTGTTTTGTATTTTGTTTTTAGTTTGCTGATTGTTTGAGAAACGTGCGCGATAATCCAATGGTTCGCTTTGGCTGCACGCTTCAAGTTGTTGTTAGGTTTTCGTTAGATTTACGTATTTCGTATTTCGTGTTACCAACTCTGGTAAGAGAGGAACTAAGTCGCTGATGGGCTCTATATGGAAGGCAGACAACCGCTCACGACGAGGCAACGAACTACACTGATTTAACGAAGCGACTGCTGCACAAACGATACCTCGGCAGCCGTTTTCAGCCGGGGTGGTTGAGTGGTAAAAACGATGGAGCGGCGGTTTGGAATGGTTAGATGGTGGTGGCAGAGGCAGCTGCATCGGTTTTTTCAAAGAGAGACGGCCTTGCGAAGGCGACTCCGCTCTCAGATAAACCAGCCAGCAGGTAGTCGGAACTGGTTTGGAGAACCAGAGAATCTCTTTCTCTCTGGTAGAAAACTCAGTTCTCGCAGTTCCACTCATAATACCCACTCATTTATCTGGCTATACGAAATCCATGGGTGCAGGGACTCTCTCCCCGGCAATTGTAACTCAACCGTCAAACGGGCAGCACGTCCTCGACGAAATGCTGTAGCCCATAAAGACTAAGACTTAGACGTAGAGTAAGACTGAAGACCACCGAGGACCTACGACCAAAAACTAAAACAGCTCAAGTGCTGTGGCATAATTAAGACTCCATAAAAAATACATACTCCTCCGCAGAATGTATATTTATGGGTCGCAGACATGTCCTGGCCTAAGTGGAGCCTTTTAGTGCGGTTTACAGTCCAAAAGTGACGCACTTGAAATTGATATTTTTCTAGGCGAGCTGTCGAGGACTCGAAAGTGTTGCACTAGAGCAGTTCCCAAAAATATTGTGTCATCCGATACATTTGAGATGCATTTCTCATTCTTGGCATGCAGAGCAAACAACTATTTACAAGTCGACAAAGAAAAAAACGGAGAAAAAAAACAGCAGTGACAACAAGAAAATCAACTTTAAATGGCCATAACTTTGTGCCAACATATGTGGCGGGATCTGGATGGGCGGGGCGGGAAACGGGGAGCGGGGCACATTTTCCTGGCCTTACGGCATGCGGTTTTCCTCCACATAAACCCCTCTGCACCACCGACATAACTGGCATATTTCCGTCTTCCAGAATTTTGCACACAAAATTTATTTTTCACAGAGAGATGCAAATCTTTTTCGACTGCTTTTTATCTCTCATAAACTAACCAATAAGTAAACTTGTTAAATTTATATATTACCCAAATTTGAGGCAACTTTGTGTATGGCTGTTAATAGTTGCTTGGGCTTTGCATTTTATAAATTTGATTTGTTGCATTCGGCAGCAAATAAATTTAAGAAATTTATGGCAAAAGAAGTACGGTACAATTTTCTTGGGAGCAGAAAGAAATTAAATCTGCGAGACCGACATTTAAACTGGTTTTATCTTTTAACTTATTTAATGGGAAAAACATTTGCTAGAGAAAATTAAGAATGTTCCTATCTTAATAAATAGTTTTGGATGGTTATTTTATTGTTTGTACTTCGATAAAGATATTGCAAAGAACCATCGCTTTGAAGTTCGACTTTAACTGACTATTAGAGAAAGGCTGCTCTGCAATGTCATAACAAATTTAAATGCCTATTCAAGAATTGTAAACAAAATCCCATTAAAAAGGCTTGTATCGTTAGCTCGTAAAGCTAGAAACTGCTCTACATAGGAACAGCCGAATAGCCTGCGTAATTTCCTTTCCAAAACCAGATCCAAAACACAGTGATTGCTGCACTGCACATGCAGGTAACGGAAGTTTGCGTTTTTATTTTTATGTGTGCCACAAGCTGGGCGAGACAGGTGCCACAAGCTTATTTTTTTCCAACTCTCACGTTACACATCGGAAAGCCTCGATCTACCCTCTCAATTTGCGACAATGTGTGAGAATTTCCCAGCAATAAAACCCGAATCCAACAGCTTAAAATAAAGGCGAGGTACACTCATATGGTTATGCTTTATGGTAACTGGGAAGGTTTGTTTGCCATGTGAGTGCGGCCCAACTTGCATATGAAAATTATTTGACCAAACGCTAAAAGCACTTAAACAATTAGAGGGAGAAACAATATTGGAAAGGGGCCAGCATTGTGTGTAATTAGGTAAAACAGGGTCTGGCGAAGGGCCCTCAACTACCAGAGTACCAAACATAAATGCAAATAATATTGAAAGTCTGAGGCATTTCGGTTTTTATTTTGGGAAGTTTTGAAGATTAAACCATCGGTTCGGATGCGATTTTATAATTTATATTTTTTTAAGTAAAACTAACAGAAAATTTATAAATCTTTATGAAACATTTAGGTCCCTTGTAAAATATTTTAAAAATTAATTTATCATTTTTTGCACATAACCTTCAAAAATTTCGTATACAAATTTTATAAAAATAATAAAGGGACTAATCTAAAAGTTCTAGCTATAATGTGAAATCTATGAACACAATTTAAAGCAAGTTTTTTGTAAAAATGCTTTGTTTTATATAGTAGGTACATCAACTATTTTAATGCTTCAGTCCAATTTTGTTTACATATTCCCCGGAATAATGTCAGACATGAGGAAAATCGCCGGCAATCCGAAGGGCAAACATAACGCACTTTGACCAAACAGAGAACCCGAAGTCGGTGAGAAGTGACTTATGGGAACGGACAGCTGACCGAGTCGCAGTCATATATATCCGTTTGCGTATATATTTCGTATGTTACCAAGATTCAATATGGGTGCGCATGCGCCGCTTCCCTTTGGACCGTTGTTGTTTTATTGGCCCCGACGTTGTCTTAACAAGAAACTTGTTAGTTGCAGCGGGTTAAAGATTTTCAAGTCTTGTACTTGGCCCTGTTGTTTGCCCGTCGCGACGTCGGCTACTCGTTTCATGTGTTGTTAAATCTTTCCTCTTTTTTTTACCAGCTGCCCTTTCAATTGATGTTTGTCCGCCTCATAAGCGACGGCACAACCCATTTGTCAGCATTTGAGGCAAACATTTTAACAAGACTGAGGGATGGAGAACCTTAAGCCGCTGACAGTTCCGGTTCGAATGCAACTTCCGCAACGATTGAGACGGTGGAAACTTCCTAGACCAATAAAATATCAATTGACTCGGCAATTAATCATATTCCGAAATGTGCAAAGAATACTTTCGGTATTGGAACTGGAACTCAAACCGGAAAGACCGGGCCTTTGTTCAGGAGCTCACCATTCATCCAGCTTCACACTTTTTTTCGTTTCGTCCTCGGCTACTCGTTTTTAGAGGAATCACAATAAATAATGAATCCAGAAATGAGCGTTAAATGCAATGAGAACGAGAATGATGAGAAGAAAAGCAGCAGCGGAAGTGAGCACACAATGGACCAGAAGACCGAAGACGAAATACTAAAGACTGAAGACCAAAGACCCGGGGCCCAGTGGGCACAAAAGGCACAATGCCTTCCTTGTACCCCCAGCCACCGCCCAAAGGTTAACTTTAAATCGAATGGCAATGGCACAGTAAGTAAATACCTTAGCACATCGCCGTCTCACTCCCTCCTCGTGTGAGAACGCTTTGCTGACTTGTGATTTTTCTCCCGATATCTCGGGGTAATGCTGAGAAGTATCTCGCAGCTTTGCCCTGCCTCACATCACCGCTAATGCATCTGTCGTCTGGGAAAGCTTCGAGAAATCGTCAAGTGGGCTGCGAGATCTGAGAAATAGCCGATTGGGGACTACCCATGCCTTATCAAAAGTAAACAGCCGGGAAATTATGATAGAAAGTTTAAGACCTCAATTCAATTTGTAAAAAAGCATTTAAGACTATTTACTAGCATTATTATTATTTATTTTAGTAAAATTATAAATATAATGTTGACAAAAACATAACAGATTTTTTATTTTAAAATTTCAAAATATTTTAAATTGGGGATCTCCAAAAAATGTTATTCAAATCTATCTAAAATCTCAAATCAAATATGTTCAACGAAAAAATAAATATCGATCATTACCTTATTACTTTCTCTTATCCACGTTAAAAAGGAAAAACTTTAAAGGATGTCCCCAGAGGCTTAACTGCAAATATTGTAACCCGATAAAAACGCCCAAGATTTGTGAGATACTCAGAGATTTCGCCACAACTATTTTTGCAACTTCCCCTCAGTTAACCGGAAAATGCAAATCAATTGCTGGTCCCCTATCTCCATCTCTCTCTCTGTTTCCTTTCTGATCCTGTCACATAAAGATGTGGCCAGGAATGCCCGTATCCGCTCCAAGATGCAGTTGGTCCCAGCTCATTTCATTTGGTTCGCATAATTTATGCAAAATTATCAATCGAGATTTGTTTAGACAAAATGCAAACGGACGGGGGAAAACTAACAGAGAAGGAGAAAAAAATTAACGAACGTGTGCCGCAACAGGAAAAGCCACAAATTGTTTATGCAACCAGCCAGGGCCAAAAATAGCCAGTAGAGAAGCGACGTATCCTCTGACGTCTTGTGGCAAATCTATGAGATACGCATATCGCATTCGACTTATCTAGCAGCAGCAACCTGATATGGCTGCCATCTCGCCATCCAGTGGACATTGGACAAAGGACGGCGGACAGAAGACAGAAGTCGCTGGATAGTAGTGACCATGGGTCTGGAGTCCAGGGAGTGGATCGCTGCCCCATGCGTGATAAATGCCGCAGATAAATGCGTGTTGCAGTTGGGCACAGACAACCAGACAACGCGGAGACACATGTTTGCATGCGCCTATTTTGCATGCCAGCCAAGCCAGCACTGAGAGAAATTGAATGGGGGGAACTAGTTTTAAATATTAAACACTTTACCAAAGAACTGGAAGGAATGTATCTTTAAATAACGTTTTTACCAAACTAAGAAAATTTCTATTTAAATATTTTAAAACAAATAACCGAAAACGTAGATTTTTAAATGGATTATATTAGAGAATATTCAATGAAATTTTTTTCCACACAGCAAATTGCAACCTATAAATAGACATGGGATTATAAGCAAAACAGTATTTCTTACATTCAAGCGAACATATACAAATATTTTCCAAAAACTTAAAAATGGGTTTAATATTAAATCTTATGTTGAATTTTGCAAACAAAAATTTATCAATCTCTTATCAATTATCGATAGGAATTGAATTCAATAATAAATATAAAATATTATAATAATATCTTTACCTCC